CGACTATCCATGTTTCATTCCAATTATCTACTTTAATTAAAAAATCCGATGAATAATGCCCTTGTTAATGAATATTATTAAAATTAAAATTTATACGTTTCGGTAGCGTTAAAAGAACCTGGATACGCTTTTGAATTTCCCATTCGTAGAAAAAAAATATCCATTCAAGATAATATATATTAATTTACTCACATGATCACATCATCCAAAGTAAAATACGATTATTATCTAAAGAAAAATCCCACTCTCTTTCTGAAAAAAAAAAAAGAAAAAGAAAACTTGAGTGCTTTTTTCCCAGCAATTATCGTTTGACTTAAAAAAAAAGAAGAAAAAAAGAGGATTGACTCTTTCTAATTTTTTAAGCAAATAAAGACCCAACGCATTAAAAGTGAAATACGGTCAAGCTGGTTTTTCTTTCTTTTCTTTTTTTTTCTTTCAGAGATACCGCCTTTTTCTCTTTCTATTTTAGACAGAAAAATTGCATAAGAAAGGAAGAAAAAAAATGGTGCTACAACACTCATTTTAAGAAAATAAACGCGTTAAAAACATGTAAAAAAGAAGGAAAAATGGTTAAAAATCTTACTGTGGTGAAAAAGAGAACCCATTTGCACAAAGAACGTTTTATACCGCTAAGTACTTTCCTTTTGGGGCGATACTCGATACGCGGAAACAGCACGTCGGCCCATCCATTATTTAAAAAACCCTTCCACCACCCCCAGATATCGTTTGGTGAGTAGTAGAGGGGGTGAGCTAAAGGGATGTAAATTCTTCTCCTTGGCAATTCAGTTTCATGCCACGCAGTGCCAATTTATCATAAACTGCTGTAGATTGGAGGGTGGGTCTAGAGGGTGTAGAAGGAATGCAAGGTGTTCGAAGTGCTAAGGGAAAGGCGCATCACTATCTACCGATCAGGTGGGTGTACAACATGCGGTAGTCGCATAAATACTGCCCTAATCTTTAAGGAGGGGGATAAAGGAGTTATAGAGAAGAATTTTGTGTGAGTGTTGGAGGGTAGAGGGATTTATCCACCCCTGTTCTGAATCGAGTAGTGAGGGTGTGGAGCGATGAAATCGGTAAAAGGGAGAGTTGGAAGAAGAATCTTTTAGTGGATCATCAATGGATGGGGGAGGGAGAATTTGTGAAATCTGTTTTGATAAATCATGGCCAAACGATTAAAGTAAGTGCTAGGAATGGGAACGTTTATCTTCCGGGCCGACAACAACCGAAGAGAGGGTTGGAAAATCACTTTCAGAAAAGGAATCGTTTATCAATTTGTAAGGGATGAAGTCTTTTTTAAAGGGGGAAGGATTGCTTTGGAATAAAATGGAAGAAACTCGATTTGAATTCTTGAAACGTAATGTTTCAGAACTTTGAATAGTTTCTTCTAATAAATTCATGAATATATGTCTACGTGTGGTTTCTTTTAAGTCATGATCTGGAAGAAAACACACACTGATTTGAATCAAAAACTAAGCTAGGCTTCAGATAATAACATTTTTTCTTCTGCCATATTATTATGAATAATATTTCAAAAAGAGAAGAATGAAAAGAAAAGAAAGAATAATTTTTCAAGATTATTTTGAATATTCAAGTGAGGGATATATATTTTATAAGCAAACTTCCTATTTTAATAACTTTTGCTGAAAGTGACACGATTCAGTAAAGGAATATATATATATATATATATATATATATATATATATTTTTTTATATATATTTTATATATATATATATATATATATACAAGCCCTTACCGCATCAACTTCACTGGGTATTTTATGATGTTGTATGACTATAGTATGTTTTAAGTTAATGAAAAAGGGATATCTAAGTCCTAGTATTAAGATTTCTGTAGATCCGCGTTTTATAGCCCCCCCCAAAAAATTTTTTGGGGTTTTTTCAAAAAAAAAAACCCCCCCCCTTTGCCCCCCCCAAGGCCTTTTTCCCCAGGATCTTGCCCGGGGGGCCCTTTTTTGTTCAACACCCCCCCTCCCTTGGATTTTGATTTCTATAAAACCAGCCTCTTTAGAGCCAATCTACTCAACAAAAGAAACATGGCAGCCAAATTATAAGTCAAAATGAGTAGTAGTTCGGGATATTTCTTGATGATTGAGTGTGTCGCTTTTCTCCTATATATATATATGAAATAATCGTGGCCAGAAAAATATTTTGGTTTGATTGTGATCACATCATTTAATTTATTTGGACATACTCTTCGTTGTATGAAACTTGCAACCTACTTTCAATACGTTTTTCTTTCATGTTTGTACAGGAGTAAATTTTAATTTTATGATATAATACTAAACGAGATTTTAACTTTACACACACACATATATATATATTTATATATATATATATATATATATATATATATATATATATATATATATATGTAGACGCTTAATAAAATTCAATTGGTAAAATCAAATCAAATTTTTTTTAGCCTAAATTATTTCACGTGTAGTTTTATATATATCACATTTAATTTGAAAGCTCCAAGTTAAAAAAAAAATATTGATTGTTATGTAAACTTTTCTGTTCGTTTTATATAATTCACATCTTATTGACAAAGATTTAAGTTGATTTATGTCAGAAAGAAAAAAATCACTAGTTTTTCTTCATTCCAAATGGTAGGGCTATTTTATTTTACCAAATTCTTTGATATTTTTCAACTATTGATAGTAATTCATGTAACAAAAGCTGACGTAAACTTTAGAATCAAAGCAATACATATTTTTTTTAAATAGCAGAATTAAGAATTTATACGTTCTTTAATGAATTTTCAATAAACATTCAGGAAAAGTATTTTACAAGTAAGAATCACGTTATCACAAAACCCATGCCAACTTTTTAAATGTATGCATTTTTCGACGTACTTGTAAATCAGATTTTAAGGCAATTATTGTACCAGGGAGTAGCATTTAAAAAAATCACTTCATGAAGTTTTTCTTTAAATATTAAGTTGTTAGCATTTTGAGCACAAATACTTTTTTTTTGCATATTAAATGTATGTGGGGAATAATCGAAAAAATATTTATTTTGAAAATCATTGAATAAAAGATTTTTTTTTAGAAATCTTACCTTGTCTGTTTTGAGAAATATTTCAATACCTACACATACTATATTAGTTCTCTCTCTCTCTCTCTCTTATATATATATACACTGCTGTGTGTGGCCACCGTAAATGCAACACCAAGAAAGACAAGAGATAGCACAACAAAATTTATTTTGTAGATAACATGTGACCAAGTCATCAAATGATTCCATTTATAGACTTCGTGAAGGTGGTTCCCTGCCAGAATCAGCAGCCAGAGTAGCCGCCTTTGTTGGAGATCACCGCTGCAACACGCCTTGGCATTGATTCAAAGAGACTTGGATGTGTTCTTGAGGACAGAGACCAAGCAGTTCCACACGTGCCAAAGTTGATCTGGTGTGGCAGCTGGGGTGTAATGTGGGTCAATCGTTGAGCAAACCATGGACCACATGTTTTCTATCGGCGAAAGTTCCGAAAGCGAGCCAGCGAGGGCATTCAATCTGGTGGGGAACAAGAACCTTGGACAATGCGTGCCACGTGTGGTCGCGCATTATCCTGTTGAAATATGGCTGTGGCCAAGCCCTGAATGTAAGGAAGGAAACTGGCTTCAACACCTCGGAGATAAAGAGCTGGCTGTTTAAAGACCGGCAATGCGTACAGAGGAGTGGAGAGTGATATCCAATACCGTCTCATACCATAATACCCGGTGCAGGACCTGGTGGCGGTGCATAATGCAGCTGTTCGCATCCTCTTCCACGGTGTTCCAGACTCGAGTCCGACCATCGTGGTGGCAGACTGATGTTGACTCCGTCGGTAAACAACCATTCCCTGCCACCGATTCTTCTTTCACCCCCAATTGGCGGTGGAGACGGGGGTTTCTGCATAAAAAGGGAAAACCCAAAAATGGACGTCCTGGGGAGAGACCACTCTGCTGTAAACGGCGTCAAAGCGCATTCACTGAATGAAGGTTACGACCAAAAAGCGGCATGGTTCGCGAGGGACAGCGATCCATCACCCCACCCAAAATTCCCCTCCCCACGTGAAGTGGTACTGAGGGGGATGCGATGACCACGCGGTCCGTTGTCCCCCCGGATCCAACGGTCCTATCCCATTACGGGTTTTTTTGTTTCGTCCAACCGACCCCGTTTTCCCCCTGAAAGATAATCCACAATCTCAGGCCGCTATCCTTCCTCTAGGATACTTGATCAAAAGCGATCACTGTGTTTTACGAGACATAACTGATCGTTTTTAAAAAACCCACAAAAAAAACACAATTGCCGGTCTTGAAATCCAAGCCTTAAATAGTGCTTTGAGGGGGGCCCAAGGCGCGCGTGATGTGTGTCTGCGCTGAAATTTTAATTATTTGCATATCTCACCTCGCAATGCATGTTGTAAATTTCATGTTATTTAATGCTTCCTTCAGGGGTTTCATTTAGGGGGGTTTGCAGTTTATATATATATTTATATATATATATATATATATATATATATATATATTTACAAAAAAAAGGGGGAAGGTTTCCAAAAAAATGTTCAACCCCCCTTTTATTAAATTTTTTAATTAAATTTTTCCTAAGTCAGTAATGTTCATAACACTGCAGCATCCATTTTATATTTATTATCTGATTACCTTTTGTCCTTCATTGTGTGATTTTCCTGCTGTCTATGTGTTTTTGAAAAGTTATTGTTTAGTTACTCTTGTTAGAGAGTTGGCCTATATTTTTATATATATATATATATATATATATATATATATATATAAATATATTGTTTGTTTTTCATTAATAAAGTAAAATTTCATCCATTCAAGTTCAAATACATTTTTTAAAATTTGTAGTGGATGACACTTGATGTTAATATAGTTTTTTCAAACATTGATTCATTAACTAAATTAGAAAATGAATAATTAGTAACAAACAAAAGTAATAGTCCAACAGCATATATAAAAAGGGAAATCGTTCTTTGTGTCCCTGTAGAGCTTTGGATAGCGTGTTGAACTTCTAATCCAAAGGTCATGTGCTCGAATCCCAACTGGGATAGCCTAATTTCTGATATTGTAATTTCTTCTTCACTATAATATTTTTTTAAAGATAACTAAATTTAATTTATGAATAAACAGTAACAAATACAAAAAAATAGTCTAACACCTTATCTAGAAAGGCAAGGGAAATGGCTTTCTGCCTTATCATTTAATATTGTGATTGTGTCATATGAATATACATATTTAAATTAATTGTAGTTATTTGATAAAAATTAACTCAAATAAAATTTTTCTATGTTGACCTAAGTAGGATTTGCTTTAATTGTTTATATATATTGCTTGTTACATTTTAAAATAATCGTCTGGTAAAAGAGAATATGAGTGTTTAACAATCTTTATAATAATATAATACACACCAATAGTGGAAAATGTTTGGTCTGAAATAATACTTCGAACTTGATTCATGTTCTTAAACATTAGTCTCTGACAGCCTTAGAAGGATTACAAAATACTTGGTAGAAGTAACTTTTATTTCTTTTGCAAAACATTCACGCAAAACTAAGACTGCACAGCTCCCCCTCATTCTTTTCTCAATCTTTACATTCCACCTCGTTGACCCCTGACTTTCCTCGGCTCTATTTCCAAGTGGCATCGTCGGTTTAATTATTGGGTGTCACTTACCCCTTACCCCTCTCTGACCAATTGGCCATAATTCTATTAGGGGTGTCGTCAGTTCTCAATGGGAGCGTCACAATACCCAGCTCGATCGTCCTCGCTTTTGTCGCTGAGAACAGGCATTAATCAGACCACCCTCCCTTTTCGAACTGCGGACAACAAATGTTCGGACCCTCCGCGTGAAAGTCGAGAAGGAATCTGACATTATGTCGTGAGTTCGATCAATGCGTGCCACTAGGATTATCTGATGCTAAGGCCGGGAATCAATGGGAACAAAGTTGCAGATTTGGGGAATCAAAAGGGAGGCTTTGTTGCAGCGCAGCATATTTCTTAGAGTATAGTTCGTAAAAGGCTGATGTAAGAGAAGTATGCTGTATTTTGGGTAAAGAAAGCGGGTCTTGCACCAAATGTATGTAATAACTTAAGGTATCCGAACACGTTCGGAGTATTTTTAAAAAAATTTTTTCTAAAAAATGTTAAAATACCATAAATACTACTTTTAACTTTCAATATTTAAAATAAATTACCTGAATTTTACAAAAAATACAATTATAAGTGAAATTTTAGCAATATTTTTAAAAAACTTCAGAGCAGTTAGAGAAAAAAGTAAAAAAACATTAGTAAAGTAATGCTAACAAAAAATAAGATCTTTGATCAAGAAATTGTACTAAAATTTTAATGTTTTTTAAAAATTTGAAAATTTTTGAGCGGGTTGAGTAAACATTATAAGAAATTTTCATTCTTTTATAACCATTATTTAAATAAAGCCAATAAAAAAAAAAATTTTTCAACAATAAGAATATTTTAGTATTCTCGAAAATAACATAAAAATCAGGGTTTTAAAAATTTTATAGAAATCATTCAAAATTTTTTTAACCCCCTGATAATTTTGAGCAATTTAAAACCCACTTTTGAGATAAAAACCCCACTTTGGTTTTAAATTTTAAAAATTGATTGTAACTTACCTCTAGGTAGGTAGAAAAAAAGAAGTCGTTTTAACCCAAAAAATTTTATTCAATAAAAAAAACAAAATATCTGTCTTAAAAAATTTTGGATTTTCAACGTGTTGGATATCTTAAATTGATATTACTCATAATTCAATCCCCTTTTTTTTAAAACATTTTTTCAAAATCTGAATAACCTATTTTAAAACGTGTCCAATTTATCTTTTCTAAAGCTTTAAAAAACACATGTTGGTATATTTATTACTGATTTTTTTTACACCTTGAATTTCTAAGATTTTTTGGGTTTCCCAAAAGAAAAAAAATCATTAATTGTTTTTTTTGCCTTTCTATAACCGATTAATTTTTCCCAGAAAAGTCATTTTAAAAATTTCTTCTAACCCCTTCGCCTAAACAGGGGACTTTTTTTTAATAAAGTTTTTCCTTTTTTTTTCCCCTGTATTAAAACTTATTTTGAATAACCCCTTCTTCAGTAACCCCGGGGGAAACAAGGGGAGGGAGGGGGTTCCAGGGCCGAAAGACCTCTATTCTAGTATCCTGCACCAATACATCGCCCAACGTTTCCTATTGATTTTGTCGATTTCCGAGAACAAAAACATTAAAAATAAATTTTGATGAAAAATTGCATTGGAATAAAATTAATTTTAAATTAAAATATTTAAATTTAAATTTCATGCCATATAAAAGGATTATAATCAATCGAAAAAACCAAAAAGGGTTTGGGGGGGGGTCCGTCCCGAAGATGTGTTGGACTGTGGAGCATGCTCGGAAAAATGGGATCACGTGATAAATGATCTCGGGTAAATGATGGGAACAGGGGCCCCTTAATTTTTTCGGCCACAAAAACTTTAAAACACATTTAAATGTAAATTTTTCGGCACATTAAATTTCAAATATACTGTAAAGTTTGGTTCGATTTCGTTCGAACGTGATTTAAAAAGCGCATAAATGGATAATTTTTATCATATGCATTAGATTTGTCATGATAAAAAATTTTTTTAAGGAATTTTGAAAAAATTACAAATTTTTGGGGAAAAAAAATTTTAATAATTTTTCAAAACGTTTTTCCCCTTTTTTTAAAATTTCAATAAAATATTTTTGGTGTGTTTTTTATAAAGTAAAAACTTCTAGAAGTCCGAACTAGGATTTTGAAAAATTCACATCATTTTCAGAGTTACTACCAAGTGAAAAATTATCGGCTTTTTTTTCTTAAAATTTTTTTCCCTCTGCTGTAAAAAAATGGGGATAAATCCCTAAGTTATATATTTAAAAAATTTAACCCAGAGAGGTCTAACTATATAAGGCAAAATATTATTATAATAGAACCCTTTTTCACAAAAAGAGATTTTAAAAAGGGGTCTTCTTTTCTTTTTGTAAAAATTTTTGTACTTAAAAAATTTTATTGTAATATTTTTTAAAAAATTTTATTACTTTTCAAATTTTCAAGGAACAAAATTTCATAAATATTATCTTTTATAGTTTTCAAATCAGGTTTCCCGAAGTAGTCGATCCCTTTTTTTTTAAATAGCCTTGTTCAGTAAATTGAAGGGCCTCAATTCACGCGTTTTAGTTAACCCCCAATAAAAACACCCTTTTTTCCATAGGTACACATTTCGTATAGTGATAAATAAGGATTTGTTACGAATTTCATAATTTTAACCCCTTCCAATAAAAAATTTACTCGATTTGTTCCCAGGGGAGATTTTTTTACATAGGCGGATTTGGGGGGGGGCAAAAGCGGCAAATTTTTTTCTGAAATAAGAAAATTTTTTAACCGTCTTTCATTGAAAAGAAAGAAAAAGGTCCTATTTCGAAAATTATTTTACGCCGGGCATTTTAAAGCACGGTTGAACGAACTTTTATACGCTGCCTAGTTGGGGCAATAAGAAATTTTTCCCATCGTTTTGGGGAATTTTTTCCGGGCTCGGGAAAAAAACTCTTTTATGCATGCGTTCAAAGTAATAAAAAACTAATATTTGGCATAGATTTGCCAGAAGCTTTGCACTGAATGGGCTAATTTATATCAGTTCATCTACAACAGAAAAAAAGTACCCGGGGCATAAAATTGATTTACGAAAAGTTCCTGTAGAATAATTAAATAAATGATAATTGTATTGTTATTTCTTATATCTCAGGCCCCACTTCAAAGTAGAATACCTGGTACTTTTATCCCATAGCTTATCAAATTTACAACAATGAGGTAAGAAAACTCGCAATAATGTTGTCGTGTGTTTTTTATCCTTGAACATATGAAATACAAGAGAAGAAGAACAGAAAGTATACAATACAACAGAAGAATGTATACATATATTACAGAAGATGATCGCGGTATATAATAAGAGGTTAGCTGCTTTCCTTTCCGAGACGGGAATCCATTACAGGCAAAAGACCGACTTTTTCCCCCGAAGAAATAAAAATTTTTTATTCGGGATTCGAATCCGAACCCACTCGGTTACAAGCCGACCGTCATAGCCACCATACTCTGGCTGGGCTAAACTCGCAATAATAAAACGTGAAAAATAAAATTTAACGTTATGTGTTACGCAACATGGGATCGGAAATGGTAAATTCTAAACTTTAAGGTTATCTTTATAAAATTCTGAGAGGATTATTTTTGAATGTTTATTTGTTTAAATATTAAAACATTTTTAAAATTAAATACATAAAGCCATATTAAGCTATGTAAAATTAAAAGCCTTTGAAAATCACTAACACCAAACCTTTCGCCATAAATTTTTAAATCAGTTCGGTTATCACTACACTAGACGTATTATTCTAAAATGAGTGATTGATATATCATTCATCGTGAACAAGACAAGAACTTTTATCGCGTGTTTTAGTATCATTCGAACTATTTAGTATTCCTTAAGCGATGTCAAAGAACTAAAACTTTTCCTTAAGAAAAGTTCCGAAACTACTACAAAAACATTCTTTATGTATCACGAGAAATCGATCAAACCCTAACAGGAACCCCTACTAGAATAATCACCCCCCGTGTATGAATTATAAGCAAGGGCATTACCGTACTACCAGACAGATAAATTCGAAGAAAATAAAGCCATTTTCATTCATCGGGCGCTACGAACAACTCATTTGCTATCGAACATCACACTCCTTTCTAGTCGTAATGTTCTTTTAAAAGAGGTATTGAATAGAAATGACCGTTTAAAACTCACCATAAATTGCCGTATTTGCATCTAGTTCCATCCAGGGAGCCACTATTCTAGTCTTCCAACACGAACTACTCGTCTTCATATTCGAATTCCACATATTTGGAGAAAGATTTAGTAGAACCTTTTGGCCGAAAATTCTGAAAATTCACGATGCACTGGGGAAACATCGAACGGGGTTTGGTGAGAGGGGGGATGTTTCCCTGAAGAAGTAAGAGGCGGCCCCCTATAAAAGACTCGAAAAGGCCCAA